TGGATGAGTTTTATGAAATTTTATTTAATTTACATAATTTTCATGCTTTGTGCTGGAGAGGACTTAATTGGAAGAAGTCACAATCCTTAGGAGTAAATTGAAAAGATATGAAATTTGAGGATTAAATTGTGCAGAATACATAAGTAAGGGATGAGACTGTAATTTTACCGTTAACAAAATTTGCAGAGAAGGACAAAAACCTTTGGCACTGATGCAGAAAAGGTGTCGACACATTGTTGAGGGTGTTGACACTTTGCGATTTATGCTGCACATCTTTCAGGTCGACCTTGAGTAGGATATTTGCATCTCTGCAGCTCGTAGAGATTTTCATACTGGCAAGCTACCTAGTTAGGGACTCATATCTTGGATTCATCATCATATTTTGTTAATTGCTCGCATCTTCCTTAACGAGCTTCATTACAAATTTGCTCGGTGCATGCCGTCTAGTTGGGAGACTGCTTTACTGCTGTAGAGCTGAGCTACTCTGCCTTGCCGAGCTGGGCTGCTGTGATGCTGCCGAGCTGGACCCTTGACGAGCTGGACTGCTTTGGTGCTGTCAAGCTGGGCTGCTGTGATGCTGTCGAGCTGGGCTACTGTGATGCTGCCGAGCTGGACCGTTGACGAGCTGGACTGCTTTGCTGCTGCCAAGTTGGGCTGTTATGTTGCTGCCGAGCTGGTTGCCACCGTTATCAAGCTCGAGCTCATCTTATTTCATTGAGGGTGCCCCATTTATGAGCTTATTTTTCTAGGAGCTTTCATGGTCCTGTGCTCACACTCTTGCATCATGGCTTCCTCTCACTGTCTCAAGCCAATTCTTTTATGCTTGCAGCTCGTGCTTGTGCAAGGATTTCGCAGCTTGTGCCCGAGCATTTCACAGTTCGGACTCTTGCATTTCCCATCTCGAACTTCTGCTATTCGTAGCTCGTGTTTCAGCAAGGAGCATTGTCGGGTCTGTTCGCAGCTTGTGCCCGAACATGGCAACATTGTCGAGTCTGCTCGAAGATTTGTTGTGGAGCTTAATTACCTTTTTCTCTCCATTGAGATCGCCATGTTTGCTAACTTGTTTTTCTAAGAATTCTCATCTTAACTCCTTTTATTCTAGAGTTCACATGGATGTGGAAGTGCCACTTCAACCTGCAACTTTTACCAAAAGCCTATAACACATATTTGATGTGTTTTGTTGTGGGTTATTGAGTATCCACGTGTAAAAAAGTTTCCAAAGCTTATTTATGAACCGAATGAAATCTAGCTTCTCCTCTTGTTTCTTGTCACAAATGGATCTGCAGGTCTGGGGAGAAGCTAGATCTGCAATGACAGCAAAGCAAGAAAGCTTTTTATCCAGGTTCCCAAAGACGGCGCCAAATGTTTGGGCAGCTTCACAAGATCTAGTTGACACAAGCTGACCAGCATAGAGACCTGCAAAATAGATTCGAGGGTTGTTCTTTGGGGTAGACACTCCGACGCCCAAGTTAACAATATTCTATACTTGGAACTCTCTTTAGAGAGAGAAATATAATAGAGAGAGAAGAGCTCTCAGAAAAGTCCCTACCTTTGAGGGGTGTGGAAGTATTTATAGATCCTTGAAAGTGTTTTACACGTGTTGCATTTCTATTGGTCCTTTTGGATCCATTTTAATGTATATGAGCTCCATTGTGACTCATAAATGTGCTCATTTGTATTTGGACCTTATGGGTCTTTATTTTATTTATGGGCTAGTTAGATTACTATCCCAACAATAACCTACAACAAACTTTTTTTGGTTGCGTTCAATCGTACACATCACTTCTCTCTCATCTCCAGTCATCTTCCCCTTCTCGGATGACTATTTCTTGTTATTTTGGTTGGCCCATCAAAGCCACTCCCATCATCCAATTAGACATCCCTTATTCTGAAAACCCAGATCTTGGTTTTTGGGTCCTCCAAACCCAAATATTTTAGGGTTATTTAGGTGACAATGAAGGATAGAAGGGGAATGAGAAAGCAAGAAGATTTGAGGATTTGGAGTTGGCGGGATGCTGAGATTGAAAAGATATTTGGGTTTACAATAACAGTAAGGAAGGAAGAGGAAAGAGAAGGAAAACTGGAAAGAGGAAAAAAGGGAGGAAGAAAATCAAAGGAGTTTCTTAATGTTTTTTTTTTCCCATGTCATTTATTTTTCCATGCTGGCAATTTTGCGTGTCAAAAATTTTTTGACATGTCATTGTCCTACCATAAATTAATAAGAGTTTTTATCGAAAGGATTAATTTGGGATCAAAACGATAAATCATAAGGATTAAATCAAAAACTTTTTAAGTTGAAGGACCCAATCAAAAGTTAATATAATAGTTGAGAGATCAAAATAAAAATTTAACCAAATAAAAAAAAAGGAAAAGAAAGACAGAAAATTTTTTCCAACTCAATTTCACGAAAAGAAGAGTTAATAGATATTTTTAATAGGAATTCGAAATAGGTAACAATTGAATAAAAAAATTAAGTGTACAGTAAAAAAAGATGTTTAAACTTATTCTAATCTAATTTAGAGGTTTAAAAAATAAATTATTTTTAAAATAAATTATAAAATACATTTTTAAATTTTATTTTAATATATCTTTATATTTCCCATCAAAAAATAAAAATATATCTTTATATTAGTATTACATATTCTAATCACCTACACCAGGATTTAGTACGCACCCTGAACATCGTGCCGCTAAAAGATTAGGGACTTCCTGTACACTTAATTTAGTTTAGTCTTAGAAAAATAAAAGTTGGAAATGCCGACCAAAGACACCGATATATCTTAGAATCTACGTTTCACTTGGAAAAAAAAGTTTTACGGGTTCAGTTTGGGTAGATGGAAATCAACCCATCAACAAACAAACAAGGACGACGAACGACAACAACAACAACAGACGGCAAAACTCTGAAACAAATTGAATCTTGATCCAGCACTCACCGGCCCCGCCCAGATCAGATCTTTTCTCACCTATAAATCCACCCCTTCTCCGTCTCATAATCTCATTGTCTCTTGCGAAGGTCGGTCCCATCCCCCTCCTAATCATCTTTATTCTGTTCTGATATATTTTTATGATCTGAGATTTTCATGCTTGATCTTGGTTAAGCATATATTTCATTTTTCTTTATTTTTTGTTATATATATATATTTAAGATACTTTGTGCAATGTTCGTATCGTATTTAAATCAAGCTGAATTTTTGATTTTGGTGTATACCCATCAGGGTTGAGTGGAAATGAGTTTGATTGCTAGTAGTTTATTTGGGGGAGTTAATTGTTTATCAAGGTTTTTGCTGCGTAGTATACGGTCCAGATGATAGTTTTTCTAGGTAAATTTAGGAAAAAATAATGTCTGTGTGTTGAAACTTACTTTTTATTGATTTGATATGCCTTTTGGGTTGATTGACTTGAAATGCAGATGGTTAACTTGGAATGAGAAAGGAGATGGTAGAGAGTGATTTGAGTAGTGAAAAGGTTGAGTGCACGACAGACGGTTGTAATCGTCATATTGAAACTCAAGGTTGTGGTCTTCATAGAGACCCTTCATTCTCACCCTGGGTTGATGAGAGCGTCCAATTTAAATGCCAGTTAGAGGATTCTGATGCAAGCATAGAAGACTCTGATTTTGAGTTGCCTTTGCCTAACAAGGGTGACTTAGAAAACGGTTGTGTAGAAGCAGACAGCTACGGTAGATTTCTAGACCAAAGTATGCACTTAAACAAAGATGCTGTCGTGGAAGATGCTTCTGCGCATTGTAGTGGAGATGGCCACAAGAAGTATGTGCCTTTTGATCTTGAAACTGAAACTGTTAGGGACATGAGCTCATCAAATAGTGTTGTTGATGGAGCTAATTCTGTTGGTAATTGTGAAAAACTGGCTGTCCATTCCAGAAGCTCTATATCATCTGCTGATCTGTTGAAAACATTGTTCTTTATACTAATGTGGTATACTTTCAGCACATTTTTGACCCTGTGAGTCCCTCTCTAGTCAATAAAAGAAGTATGCTATTCACATTTCAATATATTGTTATAGCTTGCTCATTCTCATTCTTCATTTTATTATGCCATGACTGAGTAGGTACAACAAAACTCTTTTAGGAGATCATCTGGGGAAGTTCCCAGCTCCCTTGTTGATGAATACTATCCACTTCACAATGCAAGCTGTTCTGTCAAAGCTGATTACATGGCATTGGTCTCATAGGTTTAGACAAACTGTGCCTATGTCATGGAATGATTACTTCTATAGAGGTAAAGTCATCAAATTATGCCCTTTGTTTGCCTCCTTATCATGAGAAATTTGGTACTGCAAGTTACTTGTGTAAAGATAACAATTTGTCAATTAAATAGTTTTAGACCTGCATGGTATTTACATTTGTTCTAAATCATCTTCCCTACTTTTAGGCTTGAATCATACTGGTCACCATTCTACTTCGGTGCATTCTGTGTATCTTATTTATTAACTTTCGTATCAACTAATGCTACAGATGGACTTTGCTTTAACAGTTGTTCCGACTGCTCTTTCAACAGCATTGGATGTAAACCTGAGCAACGCATCCCTTGTTTTTATTTCTGTTACATTTGCCACAATGGTTAGTTAACCTTTCTATACTCTTATTCCAATGATTTCATTTTCATCTGATGTTTTCACCCCCACCCTTCATGAATCTCTTTTCTATGATGGTTCTTTTGAGTTGTCACCTTGTTGACTCGAAAACTTTTATTACATGTCTTTGCAGTGTAAATCTGCAGCTCCTATATTCCTCCTTCTGTTCGCTTTTGCATTCAGGTGAATTTTCTGTCAGTTCTTCGTATACAATCTCAAACTTAGTGCCTTGTATACAATATCTGAACTGGCTGGTATTCTCTATCTTGATTAATGTATTTAGGTTTGTCAAGTTCTATTTTTGTGGTTCTAGTGAATCAATTTAGATGGTCTTAAATGATGAGGTGGTGGAGCTCTTGTTAGAAGTTGGGTCTAATAATTTTCTGTGTTTTTCTTAATCATTCCTTTTAATTTCTAGTATATTTTAAAGTTGTTTCCAGTTAAATTGCATCTTCGAACTCTCTTTTTCTTGTGGTAATAGCAATATTGCCAAAGCATTGGTCACTTTTTATGCTGTTGTCAAAAAGAATTTTGTGATTGAATGATAGTTTTCAATGAAATATAGGCCATAAGAAGTTACTTTGTTATGAGCTAATGAACCCTTGATTATCTCTTTTTCAATCTCAATATGTCAAACTTATTAGTTATTAGAAATTACATGACTTTCCCTTTCTTAGACTAGGAATATAATTTTGTTTAGATTGCAATTTGCACGATTGAATTAGACTACCATGTTTCCTGTATCTTAGATTGAACTGTATTGATTTTGCCTGGGAAACAAGGAAAAAGCATTATTCTTTGTGCTCCTATAATCACTGTATCATGCTTCTATTCTAAGAAAACATTTGTTTCACCTAATAATGATCAATCTTTTGTAATAAAAATAGAATATATCCATAAATTAGTATTGGTCTTGCTAGGCTTTATCTATTTTGCTCATGTTAGAACTAAAAGTAAAAATCCTTGCTCCCATTTGCTTGCATTTGATGAGAATTATTCCTTTTTTATACAACCTTTTTTTCAAGTGTTAATTTCTGAATTTTTTTTGCAAGGCTGGAGTCTCCAAGCATTAGACTTTTAGGTATTATTGTAGTAATCTCCATTGGAGTTTTGTTAGCAGGTATGTAATCTTGCCAATTCCTTAAGCCTTAATACATCTTCTTTTTTGGATATTTGCCGGTTACCAAGTCATTGTGACCTAATATTTGTCATTTATTGCAAAAGCATTGGTTGTTTTTGATGTAGTTGGTCTATTTCATTGGCATTTTTTATGCAGTTGGTCTATTTTATTGGTCATTTTTTATTGGTCATTTTTGATGCAATATTGCTAAAGCAATGGTCATTGTGATCTATTATTCCTTTTACTTTTGAGGCCATTGACTATTTCCGTTTTGAAGAGGAATGCTTTTAAATGAAGTTGTTTTATGCCTAAATTTATAATTTAATGTCATCTTGAAAGATGTATCTAGATTATCCATTCACTCCTGAATAACTATAATTTTTGAAAAGAATATTAGGGAGTTGTGTGGCCTCCATCTGTGATCCTTCTTAATCATTCTTGAGACAAGTAAATAATTCATTTTACCAAAGATCGCTGCCATTAATTTCTGAAAAAATTCTATAGATGACTTTTTTTGAGTTTATCATTCTAAGCTTTTTATGATTGATGAATGGTATTAAAAAAAAAAGGAAAAGAAAGAAAAGTAAATTCTTTATCATCATTGATTTGTTCATAGAATCAAATGAAATGACCTTTTTTACATGCATATTTGTTTTAATCCTTCTGTCATTTGTTCCATTCATTTATGTTATGTATGCATGTGCACGTATATGCATATTTTTCATGTTTGCATCTTTCATGCGTACTTGGATTCTGTTGTCATTCAGTTGCAAAGGAGACAGAGTTTGAGTTTTGGGGTTTTCTTTTTGTGACACTTGCTGCTGTTATGTCTGGGTTTCGCTGGTGTATGACTCAAATTCTTCTGCAGGTATGAGGTTGATCAATTTCTTATTTTCATTTTTACCAATTATTTAGGTAATCTTTTTTTCTACTCATATTCATTAATTTATTTTACTGGCTCCAACCTTGACTTTTCAATTTGATGGTGCCTGGGATGATACACAACGTAAAGAAAGAAGCCTCTGGTAAGTGATGATCTTCATTTCCTCCCACTTTATCTGTTTGTTTCAATACCCTCTCTTTTTCTCTGCTCCTTTATTTTTTATTTATTTATTTGCTTCCTTTCTCTTCTCTTGTCTATTGTTTAATTTTCAGTGCTAATGGATGTTCATACCATTAAGTCTGCATGATTTCATTTCCATAATATTTATTGTAATTTTTATGCTCTAGATAACAGTTCTACAGAATTTTATCCAAAATGGAAAAGAAGAAATCTCAGACATTGCCAATAAATGCATCCCTGGTGGCTTATGGCCTGTTGGTTTAACTGCTCTGCTATAAACATGGAGCTGTTCCCCTCACCAAACCAATCAAATACTAAACCTTTCCAACAATGAACATATAAAACCCTCACTTTATTGAACCTGTGACTGTTACAGCCAAATAAACAGACTTTGTGCTTTATGTCCCATATCAGATTTGGGATCTCCATCTAGATAAAAAGTAATTTCTAAGCTAGGGTTGTTCAAAAAGCTGCAGCAACCGCAAATCCGAACCAAACTGTTGATCCTTTTTGCAGTTTAGTTGGCTTACAACTGCCTTTTGTTCTAAGGCCAATGCCCAACTGCTTGATAAGTTCAGGGACCAATCTCCCATTTTTTCTGTTTATTTCTATTGAAAAGATTGGAGGTTATATGTTAAATTGGAAATAGTTGGGTTGTGATATTCATCTTTAATGAGATGAAGTGTAAACTCTATGTTTTAAAACTTAAAACAGGGAGGTTCCTCATTTTGGAGTATTATATAGCGGGGAGGGTGCCCCAAGGGCATATAGGAAGTTTCAATTTCAAGCTGACATGATGATTTCACATGTTGGGAGGATATGATCTACTTAAAAAAGTTATATTTTCCCTAATAATGAATATAGAGTTACCCAGGTTTAGTACTCGAGTGTAAATCATTGTTCCATCCAACTTTCTACTTCTTGTCTGAGATTTGAATTTCTGTATCATAAAGATATAGATTATTTTAGTTTGTCCCCTTTTTTTATTTTTATTTTTTTAAAACCAAAAAAAAAAAAAAATTCAAAGTTGGTCTTATTCTCTACTTCTATCTCTTTGCCATAAGGTAGCTTCTATTTTAATTCTTTTCAGGTTTGAGAAATCCACTTGTGTTGATGAGCTACTTGACTCCAATTATGGCAGTGGTAACTGCTGCTCTTTCTCTGTTCTTTGATCCATGGCATGAATTTGGAAAGAACAATTACTTCAATAATTCATGGCATGTTGCTCGAAGTTGCTTCTTGATGCTCTTTGGTGGTACACTAGCCTTCTTTATGGTATGAATCTAAATTGAAGTGAAGGCTCTATGTATTTTTCTTTTGTGTTTTCCTTTCTGAATGGGGTTTAGGTCTCTAGCATTCTTGTATACCAGTTTATAGGCTTTGACATACTCTTGCTGCTGCATAAACAAAGTCTCCTCTTGTTGCAGGTTCTGACAGAATACGTTCTTGTTTCAGTAACCAGTGCTGTTACAGTGACAATAGCAGGTGTTGTTAAGGAGGCTGTTACAATACTGGTAATACTTTTATCTCAATACTGTTCTTTTATTAAATACTTTTATTTCCATTTTTCAGTTGTGTAATCTTGTAGTTATTTAGGAAATCAGTTTCTTCAAACCTTTTTCAGGAAAACTAGTCTGCTTCTTGTTTCTTTTATTGAATTGCAATGCTTCAGAATAGTTCATAACATGAAACAGACATCTATCCAGTGCTGCAAAAAGCTCGCCTAGGCAGTGCTGCTCCATCGCTTTAGGCAGTGGAGTTAGGCATTTCTCATTTCTTATATTTTTCCTTTTTGGATTTTTTGTTCTATTTTGGCATTTTTTGCAGAAAATAAAAACACCTTGAGCACTTAATAGCTGTTAGATGGCACTTAAGCATTACCTAGGCACGAGGCAGTGGCCCAACACCCACCACTTCCTGTCACTCTCTGCAACCTTACATCTATCTCATGCCTAAAATAATTACTATTGAATGTATGCATTAAACAGCTTGCCTTTTTAAGTGCTGTGTATACTTCTGTTTCATACTGGAAGGGTGGGATGTGCACATATAACCTTCTTTTTCATGAGTCTCGGATTAGAAGGTTTAATATTGAATGTATGCATTAAACAGCTTGCCTTTTTAAGTGCTGTGTATACTTCTGTTTCATACTGGAAGGGTGGGATGTGCACATATAACCTTCTTTTTCATGAGTCTCGGATTAGAAGGTTTAATATGTTGTAGCTGTCATAAGTTGCTGAATTGCTGCTACCACCAACATGTCTATTAGCTATCTCATGTTTGATCCTTTCTCTGGAAGAGTTGAAGAGATCTACTTCCCTTTTTCATCCCCCATTCAAACGCTTTTACTGTCATCCGAAATAATGCTAGAAATTTGTGCTGGCGCATGATAATTTTGCTAATTAGTGTTGTGAGTTGGAGGTGATGAGAAGAGGCAAAAAGAAATATGTTAATGAAACTTTTGAAAGATGTGATTGACATTGGATAAGGGAAAGAAGAAATAGCTCTAAATGGCTTCTGGGGTCTACGAAGTCAAATTTTGGCTATTTGGGGAGGGGGGAGTGAAAGGGGCATGAAACTTGTGCGGGAGTAAGGTATGATTGGGGTTTACTTTAGGCTAGAATGGCTGTAGGCTTTGTGGATTTGGAAGGGAAATAATGTATGGTATGAGACTGTGAATAGTGAAGGTAATGTTGAGAACAGAATTAGAAGAGAAAGAATAGTGAGATTTCATAATGGGGAAGGATTCTTAAAAATTAAAATAATGAGGGATACCTAAGTGGAATTTTATGGAGGAAAGATTTAAAATCCCTACCTGAATTACCTTTCTTTGTCAAGGGGGGAAGAGTTTATGTTTTAGGAAGTGGGTAAATAGATCTTGCTGAAAATAATTCTGAATAATGAATTATTAACAAAAGACTTAACGCTGACTCTGTAAGAAATGTAAGTCCTATTCCAACTAAGAAGTCTTGAATTTAGAATTACTAATGCAGCAACTATTTTTTTTTTTTTTTATTGGTAAAGGAGGTTAGTGCTTGGCATTGCATGGATTTGAATTCATATTGTCCTTAGGGTCTCTCATCCTATTTGTCAATTGATTCTGGGCTAAACATCAGTGCTGGTTTTTCCCACTTGACACCATAACGAAGAGTGTCCAAACTAAAACCAAATGGCAATTGTTTGAGAGGCCCATATTACATATAAATCCTTAGTTTTTACTAACATAACTGGCATAGAATTTTCCCACTAACATGCTAGGCTTGGCTGCTTGGGAAAAGGGCCTTAAATGTGGGATAAAAATAAGTGGGTTTAACAAGAAACCAATCAATTCCAAGAAAACTTTTAAAAGAGAATTTGATGGACGGAGTGCATATCTATTTCATTGATCAATACTATTTACAAAGCATTTGTTTATATAGACAAATATGAAAGGAATATTTTTCCCTAGTTACGTGATGTACACACTGGTTACAAAATACACAACCTTCATAGATGCAGATTATAATCTAGAGTTGCCTTGTATTGTTAGGCTGTGATTTGTATTATTAGGTTGTGTTTTGTATCATGTATGACATCAGTTTTATCCCACCCTCTTTTAGGTTTTGTGGATCGACAAATATGTTTAACCCTGGAAATAAAACATGCACACTGGTGAAATATTCTGATGGGAAGAATCATTCTGCCTGGTTTTCTTTGATGATATCTTATTTTATGCTTGATTTGTTGTCTCTTTTTCCATTTTTACTTCTTAAATGGGTTTTTTTCTAGCTGCTCTTAGGGTGCAATTATTGTACTTTTTTGACATTAATTGGTATTAAAAAAATAAAAGTTGACCTTTATTTAAGCAATTGCTCAATTAAAATGATCAACATGGGCATTGGTAGAGAAATTAATTTCAACTTTTTTATTTTTCAATACTAATTAATGTCAAAAAAATGTAATAATTGCACCCTTAACTGTGCCCACAAAAACCCTTTTCTTAAATTAACACAATTAGTTATTGCATTATTGCTAACTCCAAGAAGCCCAAAAAGCGGTTATTGCTCATACTTATCTATCCTTTTGTCAACGACATATATAGGATTCTATTTTTTTTTTTTAAGCTTAATTTTACTGTAAGAAATTTTCCCTTTAATTGTGAGAGCTCCCTAATTCTCTTCCTATACAGCATCCAGATATTTCCTGAATTTTTTTTCTTGATCTATATTCAGGTTGCAGTATTTTACTTCCATGATGAATTTACCTGGCTGAAAGGAGTTGGACTCATTACAATCATGGTTGGAGTCAGTTTATTCAACTGGTACAAGTAAGTCATCATCAAGTGTGTTCTCTGAAGTCCCCAATCAATTCCTAAACCCTTTTGCTCTTGAACCAATCTTGTTCCTTCTAAAAGAAGATCCAACAAGAAAAATACTTGGCTTTTGCTTTTGTCCTTGAAATTGTTTTAAAAACGTTCATTTTTTTCCTTTAAATTTATTAAGTAGGAAAATGCCAGGGTGCCTGCGTTTCTGATATCTTTCTTACAATTTCATGAATTCCAAGGTTCAAGGTTATCATTCTTGGTCTTGATGATCTGAAGCAAAACACTGCTAATATTGTATATGGTTCTTGATGCCTTGTGCTTCTGTGTATGATATATATCTTTTTCAGTTACTTAGCCTGCCCATATTATTCTATTTATTCAATTTTGCTTATTTAACACGGAATCTGAAGGCTTTTCGAGTTAATGTAGTAATCAATAAACTAAATTTTTCAAGAAGGCTTGGATCTGAAACTAAATTAACTGATATCAGTCAGTGTTGTCTTTAGAAGCGCTTAATCTGAGATACAAGATTCTGTCAATGCTGAACTCTATGTTGCTCAATCAAAGTTCTTTTCAACTGTTCCTATTCTTGCAATTGCCTTTTATTAATTGACGTCTCATATCCTTCTCCAGATACCAAAAACTACTGAAGGGTCAACTAGATACAAATGATGTGGCAATGACACCCTCGACAAATGTTGCTGCAAAGTATGTCATCCTTGAGGAGATGGATGATGAAGATGATCATCTTTGTGAGCTTAAAAATCACACAATACCAATTTGATCAACCTAGTAAGCTTCTCCTGTACTTTTGTCAGTATCATTTAATCAACGATTCAGCCTTTTTTGCAACTCCTGGCAAGCTGAATCCTTTTCATGCATGGTTTTAATGCTGAGATTATGGAATTCTCAGCTGGTTGAGGAAGATGTACTGTGCTAAGACAGTTGAAATTAAGGTTTTCTTGGAGATGTTTAATGATAAGGGATTTGTGGTGTTATACATGTCAAGTTCTGTACTTGTATTTTACCCTTATGATACCTGTGGCAAAGCTGGACTGCAATTTCGCCCGCATTTCTGCTCCTTGGTTCAATAGTGCTTGTGCTTTATTTTTACCTAACATTCTTAAGATACAGAAGATGTATTTTGCAACGGCAAATTGTAGCACAGATAAGATTGGACTTGCTCCTATACGTGTTGAATTATGTAAATCACTGCATGTGTAAAATTCCATTTGCACATTTTTTTGAAGAGGAAATATACATTGTATCCTGCCATTACCATTCTTAGTTTCTGAGTGAATCTTTTGCACATCAGATGAATCGGGAGAGGAACTTTGCTATAAAAGATCCTTCACGTTGACTGGTGGGGGGTGATGGATTTTATGCAGTTCCTTTTCTTTGAAGGCCTCAATAGCCTAGAAAACGGTAGGTCGCTTCAAATTTATGTCTATTGTTTTTTTATTTTGGATATATCAAAGATAGTGACTTAATAACGCAAACGTTTCAACTTTGATTTTAATATTAAATCAAGGTTTTTAAAGTAGTGAGTATCAATTTGATCAAATTCTCGTTAATAATTTATGCCTATTGCTTGTTAACACTGAGGCCATGAGATGATAAACTAGTACAGCAAGCTTCAGGTATGAATTAAGATTAATCTCAGTTGACTGAGGGTAAAGGCATGGTATGGCTGAGCAAGGTTCACCATCTCCTAAAGATGCCTGCATTTCTGTTACTATTGTTGGAGCGGTAGCGCTTGTTCAACCTAAATTTTGCCAGTCCTTGGAAAAATTGTATTTTTTGGGGTCGGACTGGGGAGTTGAACTCTTAGTAAAGAAAGCGGTCAACTAGCAAAATGGCTATGAATTGGCTTGGGCGGTTGGGCCTATTGTGAACATTTTTCATTAGGTTATAAGTTTATCTCGTAAGTTTGGATCAAGCTCGAGGCACTACTCGAACTCATTTGCAATCAGTTTACAAAAGTATTTGAAAAGACGATTAGTGTCTCACTTCTGAATTCAAGACTAACCACTAGGGTGAGCAGGTATAAGTATAGATTAGGTATTTATTTATATTTTCATTTGATTTAAACAACAAGTACAAAGTATTTAGTAGTATTAAAAATTTATATTTGTTTTTTAATTTATTAGGAACAAATATACCTAAGTATATTTGTATATTTATTAAATATTATAACTTTCGATATAACTTAAAACTAATTAAATATACTTTAAAAGATATATTTTTATAGTGTGAATGTATAAGAAAATATATGAGTTTATTCTTATAACAAAATATATAAGCTGAAAACATAAATACAAGTTCATGTATGTATCAAAATACACTAATAAATATATTTTAAAATCAATAAAAATCTTAATGAATAAAAGTTAAAACTTTAAAAATCTCTATACTTGAATGGCTGAATGTATAAAGTTTTTTTAAGTATTAGTTTTTATTAAATAGAAATACCATGCTACCCTAAGTTTGATTTTTATTTTAAATCGAGATTTTTTTTCAAGTTTCAATTAGTTCAAGTTTGAAAGCATCTAAACCTGATATTTTAGTGAGGGCTTCCATTCATGTGGCATCAAAATATCTCTCGCAAAGATATTTTAATCTCCACAAAAATATCTCTTATCTCTAGCTCAACTACATAAGCGCAGATCCTTTATCCCCTCCTCCGCTCCTGCAAAAATAGAAGAAATTTTTTTTTTAAAAAATGGAAACTGAAGCTGCAACTGCTAGGCGCAGAATCAGCTTTATTGCAGCACACTTTACACCCAACCAAGACATCATATCTGCCACCCCTCTCCTTCCCATGGTAAAATTTGCCGTTTCCTCTGTTTGTTTCCTGAGAAAACGCGAGAAAGTACATTCCTATGATCCTTGTTACAATATATAATATAAACTTAGCATGCAGCTAACTAGTAACTTGACTAATTCTTTATCATTCTGAGATTCTTAATTATTATACGCTGTAAATTCAGCAGAAATGTGTTTTAATTGACTTAGAAAATGCTAATCCAAACTGTAATATGTTAAAATGATTTAAAATAAATCCCACGTTACTGGAAAAAAAACCATTATGTGTTCTGTAGGTACAAAGTTTTCTACCATGCTACTGGCTTAATTGGTTAATAACTCATAATCAGATGAACCAAGAAATTGTTTTCTGTCATTTTGTACTCGCTTTTCTCTTTTTTCTTAATTAATTTTGTTTGAAGTTGTTAGTGGATTTATTTGTTTTCTTCTCTTTTCTCTCTGCAGAACTGCAGTGGAAGTTTGAATTCTGTAATCCGGAGGTTTGATAACAGATTGTATTTTGCTCGTCAAAATTCTGTTTCTCAAGCCTGTTTCATGAGGCAAATTTCAAGTGAACAGGTATTGTTGTGCATCTATTTTCAATTAAGTTCGTCCAATTATTTGGTTTTAACAATTTTCTTGGAACTGAATCTGTATTACTCTCTTGCATTCTTCATTTTTGTTTGTATTTCTCCTTGCTGCAGGGAACTGCAGGTGTACCTCTCAATTCCTCTGGTTCAACAGGATGCTATCCTAGTGCTACTAAAGCACCATCATTTTCTAGACCGGCGAAGAGACAACTTAACTTCTCTCGTACTGCAGCTCCAAGACAAGATTGCAAATTATCTAATTCTGACTGTCCCTTGTTTTCTAGACCAAATATAAGTAAAGGGAAGCCGTTATATTCTCTAAGCAGACTATATTCTGCCAAATCAAATGGTTAGTTCATTTTTTTTCCTTTTCCTGAAGAGAGTTTGTCTGAATTTTCGCTGTCTAAGATCTAAAGTTTATTCTCACATATAAGGACTTCTTCTGATTCTAGTCTCAAATTTAAGAAGCAAATTATATCAGCTAAAGGGAATTTCATGGCCTACAAAAAATTAAATAAAACTGTTTGGTGGGGAATGTAAAGATTTGATGACAAAAGAAGTGTATATTTCCTCATGACTTATAATTCTTTTTAAGGAAGATTAAATCTTAATAAATAACATTGTCTTATTATCACCTTCTCTTAGATTGGAAATACAACAAAAAAAATCTTTATATTTACCACAGGAACTGCATGGTCTCCAAGGATGGATATTGCAGAATCTGGTCACAATTATGTTATGACAGTAGAAGTTCCAGGTGTTAGAAGTAGTGACATCAGAGTGGAGGTTGATGACCAAAAGTAAGACCATTTTGATTATTGTTCTGATTTATATTTTTGTATTTGTTCCTAAGTCTTCCATTTCATGTGCATATATAGACTACTATTTGCCTGTCTGCAATAAAGGATAATATAGATCAACCTTGTGATGATGTTGGCTGAGTTGTTTCTCAACCCACATGGGAGGAGAATTCATTTTGTGAAGATTTGTATATGCAGGCATCCATATATGAAGCGCCCTTTCTGCATGTTTAACATGTTCTTTTTGTCGAACTTGTTATTAATGTCTTGGCATGTTCCTTAATCCTTTTCTGGTCTGATTGGAATCATTTTACTGACAGTTTGACAGTAACTGGACAACGCTCAACCCAGTGTTGGAACATAGCAGGTCATTCAAATGATTCGATCACTGCATATCACAGGAAAGAGATATCACAAGGGGCATATCGGGTTTCATGGCCACTTCCCACTAATGCGAACAGGGAAACTGTGTCAGCCGAGTTAATGTAAGTTAGTGTTTTATGTCTTGTGAGTTCTTCATTTCAGAGTCTCAGACTCAGTTAATTTATTTATTTATTTATTTTTATCAGAGGAATTTACTTTGGTCTAACAAATAGCAACAAATATGGTAGCCATGGTAAAATATTTACCATAAGGGTCCTTGTTGGTTAGTTTTAATCTTGAAAGAGGCTTAGATTTCTTCTCTAGCTGAATTAACATTACTCTTTGTGCATCATGCATGTATTTGCATTCTTTAGCTATGTTTTTACACACTTCCACGAAAGAATGCTTCAATTCTTTTGAAATTTTTATAGTTATTGTATTATTTTAAACCTTCCATGCCCTTTTTGTTCCCACTTTGATTGGGGAAAGACGTTAGGGGAGGCAGGGCCGTGTTGTGTGGTTTTATGTATGTCGCATTCAAAATGCCAAAAGCAATTTTGCAGTATAGAAAAATTTTAAAATATAGATATACATACACTGAAGCATTTTTTCACAACAAGGGAAGGTATTAATAGTTTTGGTTTTCTTGCCAATGAAGTTTTAGTCCAATCACTGGGTGATAAAGCAAAGTATTGGAACCATTCATTCGCAAGTTCATCTACTGTTAGATGCAACTTAGGCTTTGGCTTTATCTTGGTTGTACTTGTAATTGATTGATTGATGGTGGATACATGACTTGATGAATCATGAACTATGATACAAGAAGTGACTTTGTTCAATGCAGAAACCATGGTTTCTTCTGCATTTTCTTGTTGGTTCCGCTAAATGCTGGGTGTTCTCCTCGTCTTAGAAATGTGGATATGAATAAAACCTCCCTTTTGACTGATAAAATGAAATTGTTCACTACAGACTTAGTTGGATTTCTTTTTGTTGCAGGGATGGGTTTCTACAAATCATTATTCCTAAACTTTGAGATTAAGCGATGCTGGGGAGAGTATACTACACATACACAGCTATGAAAGAAATACCTTTAAGCACCATCTTAGTAGTTTATTTACTGTAATTGTGATACATGTATGTATTAACAGCTTATGCCCATTGTCATAACTTGCTCTACAATATCACACCTTAATGATATTGTTAGTCTAAGTCTGTCCTCTGGATGTTGTATTTAAGGTTGTTAAATTTTGTTAGGGTTTAAGTATATGGGTATATGGACAGTTCCCAACATTCAGCATTGTTAGTCAGTTTGCTTTCTACTTTATATGGATCTCTCAAGGACCATCTCTATTGAAACAGATTGAACTTTATGTTTGTATATATGATGATTTGATTGACGGCATGAGATACTCTTACTTTTTTGAACCCCACCATACCTATGTCAAGATTTAAACTTGAAATTTCTAACATGGTTGGTAAAAGTGAAACCAAATGGAGTTATTGTCTAGCTTCTTGATCACCAGAACTTCAGCCAGCAATTAAACAAGACTGGAGCTCAGGAGTAGGGCACTCTCACAGACAGAAAATTCAAGGGCGATGTATGATGGTACATCTCAGCAGTCAACCATTTCATACTATGCCATTATCATGATTTTTTTTTTAACAACAAAAGACTCTTTTATTATATGAGTACAAGGGGTGCTCAAATCTATTTATATCAACTAGTCAATTTATTTTCAAACAACAAAAAGCATTTTTATTATGTAAGTATAAGAAGTACTTGAATCCATTTACATCAAACTAGTAAAAAAATCTCATCCAACAATAGTTTATCCACAAAAAAGATGCAGATCGAAACTAGCAATTTAAATATATTGTAAGCTAGAAATAGGATCTTGCAACCAATCCAAAAGGAGAAATTTGTACTGTACCATCCTTCCCTTAATCCACTAGACAGATCCAACTTGTACGAGATTTGATGAAATTATGAAAATGTACATTTAAAGTGTGCTCAACAATTGACATTTGTAAAATTATTGGCTTAAGATAGCATTTTTCTATAAATAATGTTATAAATGTTGATTCTATTATCCGTGCAAATTTTGATTCTTGAAGGTTTAATGATTAAATGGAGAAAAATTGAAAGGAAGAGGACTTAAAGGCAAAGAGTCAAAAAGATGAAGATGAAAAGATCAAATCCTAAAGTTTGAAGGCTCAAGTGGGAGTTTTCCATTTTTGGCAAAGAGGCATGCGACCAAGTCAGTAGCTTCAAAAGTTCTGGAACCAACTTTTGGGTTCCAGAACTCATTTGCAAGAAATTACTAGCGAAAAATGAGAAGTTTTAAAAGTTTCAGGCCTTATTTTTAAGTGTTGGATTCTATGCATTAAAGTGGAAACGTATTAATACTTCATTTCGAGTTTGGAAAGTTCGCTAACAAATTTCCAAGATTATATTTCATTTCCATAGGTAAAGACTACAAAATGAATCATATGGGCTTTTGGGATAACGGCAGTTGAAAATGGAAGCTACAAGGGAGACAAGAACTCTATTTTTGAGAACAAGATACATTGAAGGAGATGGAGATGGAGAATATGCTTGAACAGACTGCATTTGTTGGAAGGAGAAAAAGATAAATGGCTATGGAAATTCAATAACAATGGGAAGTATTTGCCAAGCTTAAGATATTCTAGATTAGTGGACACCTAGAGATCAAAAGGGCATGGGATCCAATTATCCCTGATAAAGTCTACAATTTTGTTTGGCAACTAATTCTTGATAGGTTACCAATAAATGCAAATCTCAAAAGAAGGATAATTGAGGGAACTTGTGTATTTTTATTAAAAAAAGGGTATATTTTTATATGTATTAGGCACATGTTAGACAAATTTAAAAAATAATATTAGAACAGTTTAGTTTTAGTTGTTACAATTATTAGGGTGTATTTGGTTGGAAAGAAACTTTTCCTTACATATTTTTATACCTTAATACTACAACAAAAATACCAACGTCTATTTGTTGGTCTGAGTTAGAAAGAGTTTAATTCTTTTTAAATAAGGTCTTGAGTTTAACTCTTGTGAGTGAAAAGAGAAGTGTTGGAAGAGTTTTCTCTTATAAGGTTTGACCTAGTTCAACTCCAAATTAATTAGGGTCTAATGTAGCTTTTGGATATTGAGAGGTTTAGTACTAAGAAAAAAATATTGCAACAAAAAGAGGTGAGATTTTTAACTTTTATTTTTCTTGACACAATTTTTGACCTTAATACTTCTTAAGAGAAATTGTTTTATGATATGTTTGGTTTGAGGAAAACGAATAACAGAGAAATGGAAGGACCTTGTAGATAAGTTAAAAGAATTGAAGTAATTAAAAGAAAAAATAAAGAACTTTTCTTCTCTCCCCTTCCCTTTAATTATTTATTTTTTCGAATCAAATAGAATAATGTTTCTTTTCCCCTATTCTCAAATCAAACATATTCTTATTTTAGAGCGATATCTCAATTTAGTAGTCATATATCTTTTTTTAAGTGCATTATATGTTTAATATCAAAGCTTTTTATGGTTAGAAAATTTCGGATAAGATTAAAATTAATCTGTCTAAAAAAACAACTATTTTGGTAAAAAATTTTGAACAAAATAATCTTTAGCCCAGTTTAAAGATTTTTTGATTGTTAGTTTGGTCTAAAATTTATTTAGTCAAGTATTTTGATTGAAATAAAAGCATATCAATTGGGGTCATCACCTTGTCGGTCAAATTATTTGTCTAAATTTTTTAAATAATAAAATAATATTATTTTAGTCAAAATTTTTGCCCAAATTAATTTTTTCAAAACTTATGAATTAATTAACTTATTAATTAACCAAAAATAATTTTTTAATTATTATTGGGCAAAAATTTAATTTGACAGAATTGTTTGTAATTTTTTATTTCAAATTAAATTTTATTCTTTTTTTTAAAACACTTGACCAAAATCATTGTATTATTTAATAATTTGTAGGTTACTATTAATGGGAATCTTTTTGTTTCCTTATTTAATTCTATTATTATTTATTGTGACTATACCAGACCGTGCAATTAATTTTGTTTTCATGAAAAGAATAAGCAGTTTACTAATGAAATTAAACCAATATTACTTTTGATGATAATAAAAAGAGGATGCAACATAATACCTACAAAGAGTACATCAACTAGAGAAAACAAAACAAAAGTAAAAACAAAAAAACAAAAAAAAGAATTGAACCTCCTTATTGAATTGAAAAGCAAATGAAAAAACAAACAGAAACCTCGATGAGACCATTATTTCACTAGTAAGATGAGTCAAGACTAAAAAGCTAAAATCTTTTTGAAGAAAGAAATCAAATGATAAGGCTTAATATCATGATCAAATTAATCCTCCTTCTAATGAAAGGTTTATCTAACGAGAGTAATAATGATAATTTAACTAAGGAGATCAAAATAAGAATATAAAGAGAAAGATGTTATAAAACATATAACATCTTCATAATATTATTTATAATCGGTAAAAGGTACCCGTTTGCCCTTTAACTTTTCGAATTTGAGGCGTTTTGCCCTCCATATTACAATACATGGATTTTTACCCTCCATATTTTCAAGTTTGAGGAAATGAGGCAAAATTTAACGCTGGAGCGTTACGTGTAGCGCGTGCACCGTTGGCCTCCGTCAAGTATGCACATGTCAACGCCAACTCAGACTTTTTTGACAACTTGGCATGCCAATTTGGACCCCCATGAGCGAGAAGTCTACCTACTACCAATTTTATTTGTGGGCCCCACCGCTGACTAAAGGTTTGAAAAAAAAAAAAATCAGATGAATGCCAAGAAACCGTCCGACTCCAAGCATTGTGATCGAGAACAAAGAAAAGCTTCTATTAACCCCACAACCCAGAAAAGGACCACAAAAGGAAACAACTTTACTCCACCCACCAACCGAACGAATCTCCATTGGAGGAATAGAAAAGAACATTCGAAAGGGACCACAAAGCACAGACGATTTTGACACTGTTCTTTGTGCCGTTGACAAGTATTTTTCCTTTTATTCTAACAAAATCTTGTTTAACTTTTACTAATATTTAGCATACGAGTCATGGATTTGTGTTAGAAGTGATATTTAATTAAGATTTATGGTTTATTTAGGATTAAAATAAATTTAAGCAGTGTTCGTCACTTTTTAGGGATTTAGGGTTCATGTAATTTACTTAGTAATTAAACTGAAAAGTTATACTTTTCTGTTTTCTTTTGCTTTTTCTGTTAGTGTTGAATTCAATTTCAATCATAATTGTACAAGTATTGAAGAAATTTTAGTTTAGGATTTATGCTATTACTATAAATTAGTTATTTCTGAATCTATAAATTTGTAATCAATAGCTTGATTTATAGATTTAATGCTTAAATGTGTGTTAATTTATATTAATTTATATCTTTTTCTTCCCATATGATAGCAATGGGGACATTAAGAATTCACCATAATGGCACTTTTTGCATGAGTAGTAGTACAGATCTTAGGTATGCTGTAGGCAAAGTACATGATGAGGATATTGAATATCATCGTGTGACTTTGTTGTACTTAGAGGAGAGGGTAAAAAGCCTCGGATATATGCATTTTAAGGACATATATTACAAAGATCCTTATGTGGAAAAATTTGGTAAAGCAGTAAAGGTTATAAATAGTAAGCAGGAGCTTATTCACATGTGGTACCTTTTAAATGAAAAGAGAATTATAGATGTGTATGTTGAGCATGTCTGTGATGAGCAAGATATTTTAGATTTGCTTGAAGGTGGCACTGTTGTGCAAGAACTAGTTGATGAAGGTACAATGGACATTGGGGAAGGCTGTGTGACACAAAATTCACAACCAGCCCAAATTTTCATGAAGCGCCAAAAATAGCAGTTGAAGGTGATGCTGATGAAACAGATGCACTGCATGGAGGTGATGCAACCCAACAAGAAGATCTACAGAACAATGATCATGATGATGAGGAGTTGCCTGAGATTGTGCATAATGATGCAGATGATGAGGATAGTGGGGAAGGCTGTGTGACACAAAATTCATAACCAGCCCCAAATTTTCATGAAGCTTCAGAAATAGCAGCTGAAGGTGATGCTGATGAAACAGATGCACTGCATGGAGGTGATGCAGCCCAACAAGAAGATCTACAGAACAATGATCATGATGATGAGGATTTGCTTGATATTGTGCCTAGTGATGCAGATGATGAGGAGGTGCTCGAATCTATTTGCAATAAAAAGAAACATAAAGCCAGTGCAAGTGCAAGAAAAAATGCAAATGGTGCTGGACCAAGCGGCACAGTCCATGACTCCCCCACCACAATTAATGAAGAGGATGAAAGGGTTCTTATAGGAACTGATGACCATGGAGATTTGGGTTCTGATTCCAGCTTTGAAAATAGTGAAGATGAATTTGAGGTTTCTAGTGATGATTCAGGTGAGTACAATGTTGTAGATGAACATGAACTTGAAGAAGAAGAAGAAGAAGATGTAAGAACTACTAGAAGTAGTGATTTATGGTTTAATCCTTCATGGACTACTATTTGGTTTGAGGTAGGGATGAGGTTTGAGCATGTAGCACAATTTAAGGAGGCTATAGCTGAGTACCAAATTCAAAAAGGCTGTAAGTTGAAACCTGTTAAAAGTGACCCCACCAGGCATAGAATTCACTGTGTTGGTCAACAGTGCAATTGGAGTATCTTTGCCAGTTTTGATAAAAATGACAAGACTTTTAAGGTGAAGACATATTGCAGGGAACACACTTGCTTTAGGAGTTTGAAGTCCGATGTGGTTGGGTTGAGGGTACTTGCAGAACACCATAGGAACAGAATTTTTGCAAATCCGTAGATCAGAATCAGTGAGATAGTGAGATTGTCTCATTTAGAATTAGGAGTTCATGTTTCAAGGGATAAGTGTAAACTAGCAAAGGAAAGGATTATGAGGGAGGTGAAGGAAACTCACACGAAGGAATTTGCTCAGTTAAGAGGGTATGCAGAAGAGCTGTTGAGATTGTCCCCTTAGTCAAATGTTCAAATTGACAGTGAGCCACCCACAACTCCAGAGGGAAAACCTATGTTTAAAGGAATCTATGTGTATCTAGAAGGATGTAGGAAGGGTTTTCTACTAGGCTGTAGACTAGTAATTGGAGTAGATGCCTGTTTTCTCAAGGGGATGTTTAAAGGAACTTTTTTGGCAGCTGTTGCAAGGGTTGGGAACAATCAAATGTTCCCAATAGCTTGGGCTATTGTTGACTCAGAGTCTACCAGCTCATAGACGTTTTTTTTTTTTAGATGCCTAGCTGATGATCTATCAAATCACACTGGGCGAGATTTAACGTTCATTTCAGACCAACATCCTGTAAGTGTGCACAATCTATTATGAATTAATTTATATTATCAATATCTTTATGTTACCATACTCATCAATGTTATTTATTGTATAATTTAATTGACTTTATTATCCATCATTAACCTTATTTGTTTTCATTAAACACAATTTGGTAGGGGTTGATTAATGCAAGACAAATAGTTTTCCCCGAGGCTAGGCATAGATTGTGTGCCAGGCATTTATATGCCAATTGGCAAAAAATTTTCAGAGGGAAACTATTGAAGAAAAGATTTTGGATTGCTGCAAGGTCAACATATGAAGGTCAATTCAACAAAAACATGGAGGAGATCAGAAATTTATCCGTAGAAGGTCATGATGCCTTAAAATCAATCCCACCAGAGCTGTGGTGCAAGGCATTCTTTGACACATCATGTAAATCTGATGTGGTGGATAACAACATGAATGAGACCTTCAACAATTGGATAAGGGATGCCAGGTATATGCCAATCATCCAACTGTTAGAATATATAAGGGTTAAGGTGATGGTTAGGATGGCTAAGAACAGAGAAGAAATCAGTAAATGGAGAGGAGATATAGCACCCAGAATTAGGAAGAAATTAGAAGCACATAAGATTGAAGCTGCCAAATGCAGATGTGAATGGAATGGCAAGACCCAATATGATGTTTGGCATTGGAATGACAAATTTGTTGTGGATTTGATTGGGAAAAAGTGTAGTTGTAGAGCATGGGATTTAACAGGAATTCCATGTCCTTATGCATTGTCTGCCATAGGTTTAGGTAACTTCGACCTGGATGAATTTGTATCAATTTGGTACAAAACGGTTAAGTATGAATGTGAATACAATGTACCAATCATGCCTTGTAATGGTGAGAAATTCTGGGAAAATTATCATGGGGAGCCACTAGAACCATTGCCATTTAGATGCAAGCAGGGTAGGATAAAGGTGAATAGGAGGAAGGGTGAGAATGAAACCAGAAAGGTGAAGGTGGGACAGCTAGAAAAGATGACAAAGGAAGGTGGACAAATCATGTGCTCACTTTGCAAGCAACCTAGACACAACAAAAGGGGATGCCCCAAAAGGCCAACTGAAAGTGAAGTAAGTTAATTACTTCCACCTGCTTTATTATCAACAAATGATAATATAATGACATTTTTTTTTCATACTCAATATGGAGCATCAGTAAGCACTCACCAGCCAATACCAAGAAAACCTCCAACTTGTGGATATTGTAAGCAGCTTGGTCACACCATGATAACATGCACTGCTAGATATTTTGTTGATGAAAATGTAAGTTTATTGAGTGGTAATTGCTTAGGATCTATAATTTCCTATTAATAGTGCTATATTGCTAATTATATGTGTCTATGTGTCTATTCTTGTTGTTGTTTTTTTATCATGCAGTCTAGTCAATTTGATGGACTAGGAAGAAAGAAGAAGCACAGATTTGGTGAATACATTAATTCACCAGAATTGAACCCTATGAGTTTAAGCTTAACATTCAACTAAGAGTGTGAATTGTGTTGATCATTTATTTTCTAATACTAGAATTTAATTTATGCAGCAAGGTCTGCAAGGGGAGACTACTATGAGACATACCCATCCTAGCCAATTTCATAAGGCACAGCCACCTCGGAAATTAGCCAAGAAGAAGGGATCAAGTAAAGCTTAAGGAATGGTTCTTTTTTTTTTTTTTTCTTTGGTTTAAGGTTGCAGAAGGTGTTTTCTGTAGGTAATATGTAAATGCAGTAAATGCATGGAAACAAAGTGGCTCACATGCTCTTGTATCTACTTTGGTAGGATCTATATTTGGCAAGAATATGTAGCATTTTTTTGATTTTGGATTTTTGGAGTATGGGATGAAATTCTGGGAAAATGGTAGATATCTTTGTCTCTTGTCAACTTTTGTGCAATCCTAACAAGATAATTATGTAAATGTAACACTTTTGGCTTATATTATCAATTAATGGTAAGTGATATTTCCTTATTTTTGTACATTTTATGGTTGTTCATATTGTTAATATTAATAGCACAAATAGCTATTTCCATTTGATCAATATTAAAAAAATGAGGTAACAATTCTGGAGAAGTTAATTTATATTCATTATATCCAAAATAAATTACAAAGCTTGGGGAGAAATGAGGCCCCATATTAGAATTATTGGGGGTAGTATCTACAAACCTTCAACACTACCATTCAAGACAACCACATTGCCCACCAAAAAACAGATAATGCCCAAAAAACAAAACTATCCCCATTTACCTAGTTTCTTAATTTCCAAGCCTTTTGAAACCCTTGTTCCCATCAACAAGTAGAACCCAACTCCTAAATAAGAAAAAAGCAAGTAGGATAGCAAGGAAAACAGCCATGACCAAAGATATTTGACCACATTTCTTCCATTTCTCTAGCTTTGCAGCATACACCATTGTCATTGTTGCCAACATCTGCAAATCATTAACTTTCTTCTCCAAATCCTCAATCTGTTGCTCTCTTTTTTCTTCATAACGCTTCAAAACATTCCTAAGAGCTTTGATCCTTTCCCTTGCATCATCCAAATCAGTTTCCAATTCTGTCTTATTGTTGTGCAGCCATGAGATAACCTCCTTAGCCTTAAAAGAGAAATCTTGATCATACCACACAAAATACTTACATTGTCGCTTTTTATTCTGCAAATGTCCAAAAATCACATTTCATTAACAATTAATCAAAACCCAATCTTTATGCCAAGCAAAACCCTAAACATTACCACACAATACCTGCGAAATATCTTAACAAAAAAACCCCTAAACAACACACTAGTTTAAAATCAAACATTAGGGAAGAAAATACCATGGGATCATAGATTGGGCATCCAAAAAACCTTCAACCAGGATTCTTTTCGCTCCAAGACATGATTCTCGGAGCCTTCAAACCAGAAAAGCAAAACCGACTTGGCCCCTCGTAATCATACTCGTGTCTTCCAAATTCCATCGGTGCTGAAGTGTGAGAGCTACTGGAGCTAGCCATTGAACAAGTAAATGAAATGGGCGTGAATCTGAAGATCAAAGAAGAGAAGGAAACTCAAAACTGTTTGTGCCCTAGGGATCATTTAAATAGATTTCTTTGCATTCATCTGTCTTTTTTTTTTTTTTCCAAACCTTTAGTCAGCGGTGGGGCCCACAAATAAAGTTGGTAGTAGGTAGACTTCCCGCTCATGAGGGTCCAAGTTGGCATGCCAAGTTGTCAGAAAAGTCTGAGTTGGCGCTGACATGTGCATATTTGCTGGAGGCCAACGGTGCACATGCTACACGTGACGCTTCGGCGTTAAATTTGGCCTCATTTCCTCAAACTCAAAAATATGGAGGGTAAAAATCCATGTATTGTAACATGGAGGGTAAAACGCCTCAAATTCAAAAAGTTAAAGGGCAAATGGGTACCTTTTGCCATTTATAATTACCTTTAATGCATATTAAAAATTAAAAATATTATACTCCTAGAATTATGTAATAAAGATATTTTTTATTTTAGGTTAATGTAGGAGAGAAAGGGTAAGCACAAATAAATGTATTTAACTCTCAACATGGATTTAATGGTTGTCATTCATTGTAATCCTTTATTTTTACCCTTTATGAAAATTTGATGTTTATTCATCTTCTTTGGGTATAATGCACTATATATGTAATAAAAATAAAAATAATCCCATTATATATCTCAAAGCGTCAGGATTACAAGAACGTTCTGCTTGGTGGTCCATGGAATGTTGGAGGCTATTGTGTGGTAGTAAGGAGATGGAATCCATGGTTTGATCCCATGGAAGATGTCCTTGAGAAGGTTAATGCATGGGTGTGTGTTTCTTGTATCCCCGTCTGCTGTTATAATCCCATTGGATTGAAGCGTATGGGAGACAAACTTGGAAAAGTCTTGAAAATAGATCACTCAACACAATATGTGTGTAGAGGCAGATTTGTGAAATTTTACGTGGAGGTGGATCTCACTCAAAAATTGAAGTCTAAGTTGGGGTAGGAGGCCGAGCATACTTTATCTCCTATGAAGGATTGGATCGCATTTGATTTTCTTGTGGTGAATATGGCCACCGTCGAGAGGATTGCGCCCAACTAGCTAGACAAAAGGCACAGGAGGTTGTAACCAATGGACCCTCTACAAGGATGCAGTTGAGCTCAGGACAAGAATAGCCATCTTTGAGCCAAAGCCAGCATCAGTCGGCCACAGCGATAGCAATGGTGAAGTCATCAACTAAACCGACGGAGAAATTTGGTCCTTGGATGCTGGTCCAACGTCGAAATAAACTCCAGCCAAATCTATACAATGTGTTGGGAATAAGCCCAACACCTACACAGTGGGCCCAACAAGCCCATTGACACGTCTAGGAACCTGAGGTAACTCCGCGTGTGGGCACACTCACCTAGATGTACCCACGTGGGTGGTGACACACGGGTTAACTAGGTATTTACATGTGGATTTTGATACCATTAGTGGGGGGCTAAAAATACCCCTATCTATCTCCACTCAAGATAATAGCTCCATTACGCTTCTCTTTCTGCAATTACTCTAAAGAGCCTCTTTTTCTAGAATATTAAATATTGCTAACTTGAGTGTTGGAGTATTTTTCCTCAGGATTTTCAGGTGTTAAAGTAGCTGAAGATTTCTACAGTGAAGGTTTGTGAAGCTGCCCAAACATTTTGGCGTTGTCTGTGGGAAACCTACAAAAAAGTGGTGTTGCTTAATTGATTGAAGTTAAACATGTTACGTAACTTTACAGGAAGTCAGCCTTCTTCAGTGGACAGAATGGATGGTTAGAGTAATGCTCAACTCCTGGAGTTTAACCTCAATGACTTTCGACCGATGCCAAGGAACCTTTTTGTAGGGGGAGTAGAGAAAGAACCATTAAGTAGTTTCGATGATGGACAAACGCCCACTGTGCATGCAACCCAACCTGAAGAGCAATTCTAAGCTCCAGGAGGCACATGATGAAGACATCTCATTCACAATACACAATGGCCTGGTAGGCCTTTAGAGTCAGCCGAGACGTCCGAGCTAGAACAAAGAACCAAGGTCCTTGAGATGGTTATGGGAAGGATACTTTCTCATTTGATTCCTGATGATCCTCTAATTCCCCTACTGAATAGGGGTGATCATCTTGTAGAAGTTGTTGGTTGTAATTTCTTGGCTTTGAGTAACATGGTTGTACTGACCAAACCAAGAGGAAGGGGGAAATTGAACCTCGAACCTAGCTTGTCAAAGCTTAATGAAGAACTGTTGAAGAAGAATAACGAGCTTGAAAAGCAACTTGAGGGTATGTATAAGTCCATTGACGAGCTGAGGAGTCTTAGGTCGTGCCAACAAGTGGTCAGCCTAGACAGTGCTCCTCTTAGCATGCCATCACAACATAGCCTTATCAAGAAGGGTTCAAGATTCCTCATTTAGAGATATATGATGGCTCTGGTGATCTAGATGAACACTTACATAACTACCAAGCCATCATGAAGATACAAAATGCAACAAATGCAATGATGTGCAAAGTATTTCTGGCCACTCTAAAGTTGATAGCCAGAAGGTGGTACCATAAACTCCCAAGACACTTTATCAACTCTTTTTCTCAGCTTGCTACTTTGTTCTCTAGCAAGTTTGCAAGCCAATGAAAATAAAAGCGTACAGCCACTGAGCTGATGTAGGTCCACCAGAAAGAAGGGGAATCGCTAAGAGATTACGTGCAGTGCTTTAACAAAGCTATTTAGACATCGACAATGCACTTGACATGATTCACCTGTCTACCTTACTGCATGGCTTAAAACTTGGTTGGTTCTTAGATGACCTCCTGGAAAACCCACCAAAATTGTGGAATGAAGTGAATGACAGGTTAGTAAGCTTTATCTTATCGGAAGACTTTCAGTCATCCAAAAGATGAGTTGATGATAAACAAAATAAAAAACACAAGCAGCTAGAAGGAAGGGAAGAAAAGAAAAAGTAGAAAGTTGCTGATTAGAGAGGAAAACCACCTAGCTTTCCAAAATATGCGAATTACATTCCTCTAAGCTCATTGAGGTCTCAAATCTTGGCGCAGATCCAACATTGGATCAAGAGACCACCACCCCTTCTTCATGACTCAACACAAACAGATAGGAGCAAATATTGTGATTACCATCGTGGATATGGTCATTATACAAACGACTATTAGAGCTTGAAGGACGAGCTAGAATTTTTAGCTTGGAATGGGAAATTGGAGGAACACATCCAGAAGTCCTACCCTCAATAGCCTAGCCAAACCCATTACATGCAGGACTACAACTGACCTCATGGGTAGGGGTATCATGTTGGCGGTAATCAGAACATGTATCAAGGGAATCCATTACCCTCTGAGCTCGGCAAGGGTTACAGAAGACATCAACTTAATAAAAGAGGACAAGGATAGAGGACCGTTGCTCAAAACCAAAAGGACAATAGAGGAATAAGCTACAGCACAATACCTCCACCCACAGGCATAATAAACATAATTTCAGGTGGGATGCATTCAGGGGGCCAGAGCGCTCATGGTTGTAAAGCTTATGCTCGTCAAGTAATGATTGTAAACAAGAATAGACCCTAAAATGACCGTTTGAGGAAGCAGAATGGGAAAATGCACTGATCACGTTCAGCCCCACAGATTACAAAAGATCATAGGGAGAACCTGATATTATTATGCATCATGCTAATTCGTTTGTAACCACTGTTCACATCGGCAACCACAATGTGAATAAGGTCTTCATTGATACAGGCAGCTCTTCAGATATCTTATATTGGAACTACTTCAAGAAAATGCAGTTAAGCCCAGCTTCTTTGAAGAAGCATGAAGGACCTATATATGGATTTGATAGCCAGCCCGTCTCAATTGAAGGGCTGGTCACCCTCCCCATATATGTAGGTTTTGAGCCCCAATTTAGGATGACATCAATAAGCTTCCTAGTAGTTAAAATGGAATCAGTTTTTAATGCCATAATCAAGAGAGCCACACTTTGCGAGTTAAAGGCCGTCATTTCCCAAACACACCTATGCATGAAATTCCCAACTCCTCATGGGATAGGAGTGTTGAAGGGAAACCAAAAAATGGCAAGAGCTTGTTACTAATACACATTCAAGAAGGTTGAGCTCATTACAACACCTAAAGCCCAGTCTTCTCAGATTCTCCAGCAAAGCTAGCTAGGTCTGCAAAAATGAGCATCTTTGACATAGATCACGACCTAAAAACATGGGACAAAAGGCCGAGCTAGTGGAGCCTATCGAAACAGCTTGAACCTCAATGAACTAGAGAAAACTATAAAGATCGAAACTAAGCTCACAATGGAAGACAGAAGAGAGCTCTTAGAGTTTTTGAGATCCAACAAGGATGTTTTTTCTTGGGCAGCAGATGAAATGCTTGGGATTCCACTATAATTTATAGTTCACAAGCTCAACACAAATCCCACAAGGAAACCAGTGGTGCAAAAGCGTCGCCTTTTGGGTTTGGAAAAGCAAGCTGCCATAAATGAAGAAATATAGAAGTTGTTGCAAGCAGGTTTAATTAGAAGGGTGGAGTATTTGGAATGGGTTTCAAATCCCATACTCATCAAAAAATCTAACGGGAAATGGAGAATGTGCATTGATTTCACAAATTTAAATGATGCCTACTCGAAGGACTCGCACCCTTTACCCAACGTTGAAAAACTAGTTGAACGGGCAGTTGGTCACGAGTGAATGAGCTTTTTAGACACCAGCTTGGGGGATCATCAGGTTTAGTTGTGGCTAGATAACCAAGAGAAAACAATGTTTTATGTTGGCGATGCGATCTATTGTTACGTGATGATGCCATTTAGGTTAAAAAACGCAGGTGCTACATATTAAAAATTAGTTTAGCTCGTTTTCAAGCTTTAGATCAATAGAAATATCAAAGTTTATGTTTATGATATAATTGTCACAGGTTTACGAGTTGAAGATCACATTGGTGATGTAAACGAAACATTTCAAAATTTGTGTTAAGCATAAATGAAGCTAAACCCCTTAAAATGTATGTTCAGCGTGGAGTCAGGCAAATTTATGGATATGTAGTCTCAAAGAAAAGAATTAAAGTGAATCCAAAGAAGGTTCAGGCCGTGGAGTAGATGTTGCCCTCTAAAACAGAGAAGGATGTACAATGTTTGACAGGCCACCTCACCACCTCGCACAGATTTATTTCCAGGTCAACAAAAAGATGCCTTTCATTTTTCAAAGCTTTGAAAGAGCCCAAAAATTTTCAACAAACGAGCGAATGCCAACAGGCTTTCTAAGAACTCAAAAATTATTTGGCGTCACCACCATTGCTCTTCAAACCTGTTGACAGGGAGAAGTTATATATGTACCTAGGAATTGTAGTTGAGACGATGAGCTTGATCCTACTAAGAGAGTAGGACAAGCAACAGAAGCCCATTTGTTACATGAGCAAAGTTTTGTAGGGTGTAGAATGAAACTATCTTGTTTTAGAAAAAGCTGCCTGCACCCTTGTTTGTGTTGCTCGAAAGTTAAGGGCTTACTTTTAATCACATTAGATTGTCATTTTTACTGACCTACCATTAAGGAAGGTACTTCAAAAGCTTGAACTTTCTGGTTGATTAATTGGGTTGGCTGTGGAGATCAATGAATATGACATCAAATTTGAACCTCGCACAGCTATAAAGGGTCAGGCTTTGGTAGATTTCCCAATTAAGTGTCTTTTAACAGCTATAGAGGAAGCCATAGCCCCGTGCCCGATATGGGCTTTATATGTAGATGGAGTTACGAACGTTTAGGGTTCAAGAGTTGGAGCGGTGTTGCAACCAATAATGTGGAGCATGCTTTAAGATTCAAGTTTCAGGCAACCAATAATGTTGCAAAGTATGAAGCATTAATTTACGACCTAAGATTAGCCTCTGAGTTAAAGGTGAAGCATAAAGGTCTTCAATGATTCTCAGCTCGTCGTGAATCAAGTTAATGGGAGTTGTGATGTTAAAGACCCTCAACTCGCCCGCTATTCTTCTTTGGTTAACTAATTAAAAATGAGCTTTGCTTCATTTCGAATTGACAAAATACCATAGGCAGATAATTGACGCGCTGATGAATTATCCAAGTTGGCCTCCTTGCAAGACCTCAACCCTCAGCAAACAACATACATGGAGATTGTAGGTGCCCTGAGTTATACCAACTCAATACTCGATTATCAAATACTAAGTACTGACCCGTTCTTGCTGAGTTGGACCATGCCGTTGATTAATTATTTACAAAATGGCGAGCTGCCTGACGACTTATTTGAGGCTAAACTAATTAGACATAGAGCAACCCATTTTACTTTAGCTGATGACCAGTTGTGTAAATGAGTAGTCTTGATGCCATTATTATGTTGCCTTATTCCTTATGAAGTTGAATATGTTGTAAGAGAAGTTCATGAAGAAGTTTGTGACACCCACAAAGGTGGAAAAACCTTCGCTTGGAAACTTCTCAAGAAAGGATATTATTGGCCCAGTATGGTTGAAGACGCGAAAGGCTACGTAAAAAAGTGTCCAACCTGCTAGTACAATTCTAATGACATCCATCTACTAGGAGAAATGTTATTCTCCCTTGCCTCGCCTTGGCCTTTCGCTCAATGGGGAGTGGACTTGCTCTGTCCTTTTGCTAAATGCAAAAGGGGTTGAACGCATCTTATTGTTGCCGTGGATTACTTCACTAAATGGATGGAAGCCAAACCATTATCTATAACAACAGAGAAAAAGGTGGAAGAGTTTTTATTCAGCTTGGTATTGTGTAGGTGCGATTATGAAGTTAAATTCACACTATACTGGGCACACAGACATCTACCTTGTCACTCAGCCTACTTATTAATATGTAAGTTTGGTATCCCTTGGCGCATCATAGTGGACAATGGTCCTCAATTCTGAGTTGTAGCTTTCAGGTCGTTCTGCAAAAACTCTAGGATTGAGCTCGTTCTGACGTCTGTCTATGCGTTGCAAACAAATGGCCAAGTGGAATAAGCCAATAAGAACGTCTTGTGAGGCCTTAGGACACGCATTATGGCTGCTCAAACAAATTGGGTGGATGAGCTAAGCAAAGTGTTATGGTCATCTCTTACCACACCCAGTTCAGCCACGGGAGAAACCCCATTCTCCTTGCCATAGGGTGCTGAAGCGATTATCCTCATAGAAATAGGTTTATCGAGCTAGAAAGCTACCAAGTTCAAAAAATCTATTAACGAGCAACAACTCTAGGAAAATATTGACCTCATTAAAGAAACAAGGGAGTCAACATGGATAAGGAATGCAACTTACAAGCTTGTGTTGCTAAGTTCTACAATAAAAGGGTTCACACTCGTTAGTTCCATGTTGGCAACCTAGTCTTATGGCAAGTCAAGCTCATTAATGCCTATTCACACTTAGATAAGCTCGCTCTTAATTAGGAAGGCTTGTACAAAGTAATTGCTATTAAACAACCTAGGTCTTATTTATTAGCAGATTCACAAGGTTATCAACTACTGTTTACGTGGAATATACAAAATCATAGGAAGTATTATAGTTAGCATTTGTTATGAAAGCTAGGAAATGTATAAGTCTTTCATCAATGAAAATGCTTTTGTTTCATTCAAAAGGTAATGCAAATTACATCAATCTGAAATTGAAACAACCAAAAGTTAACCTAAATACAAAAA